CACTTGGGAAGTGTGGCGGCGCTCCCGCCCGAGGGTTCGGATCCCACATACAGACCGGTTCCCGCTCACTGGCTGAGCGAGGCGCGGGAGCAACACCGAGGGTTGCGATCCCGTTGCCGGTCCCCGGTCCGGTACGGGGGCAACACTGAGGGTTGCGATCCGTTGCCGGACACGGAAAAAGACAAAAGACAAAAAAAAAAAAAGATGTGTGTTTCACTGTATGTAAACTGTACCTCAATGGAAAAAAATCTTTTATGAAAGTATGCTGAAAAAATTTAGAAGGGAAGGAAATCTAAAATTTATTTACTAAGCACTTGTGATCTCATTATATCCATTATCTCCATCTCAAAACCCTAAAAGAGAACTATCCCCATTTTACAGATTAGGAAACTGAGGTTCAATGAAGTTAAAATAATGCAGCAGAAGCCTATACTAAATATAGAAGCCAGAGGGCTGCCCCATGGCTCACTCGGGAGAGTGTGGTGCTGATAACACCAAGGCCACGGGTTCAGATCCTATATAGGGATGGCCGGTTGGCTCACTGGCTGAGTATGGTGCTGACAACACCAAGCCAAGGATTGAGATCCCTACGCGTCATCTTTAAAAAAAAAAAAAAAAAGAAGAAGCCAGGCACAACCTAGGCTTGTCTGCCTTTCTTATAATAGGTTATCTTAGGGAGGGAGGGGAAGATATTTTCAACCTGGGGCCAGGAGATTTGTGTTCCATTTGATTTCACTGCTATGTGATCCTAAGAAAGTCCATTTCCCTCTGGGACTTACTCTAGAGTCAAATGAAACTCATAATTGTTTTGTAACACTGAGGTTCTAGCAATCAGAATATCTCTCCTCCCTCTTACCAGGATAAGGCATTAAGAGCAATTTCTATTTGTCTCAGGGCAGATGAGCAACAAAAGCCCTTTGACTCTGGTAAGAGGATAAATCCTCAACTAGGTCAGTGACACAAGAGCTCTATGGTGATAGAATCCAGCAGCCTCCTGTTTAAGAGATAAGCCTGACTCATCCCTCAGTGATGTGATGGAAAGAAGTGGACTGGGAATCAAGAGATCTGAAGCCTGCTGCCGCCCTGACAATGAGATGCCCTGTAACCTTGGGCAAAGCATGCCCTCTCTATACCCTGAACCTGTACTCACTAAAGAGACGGTTAGGCTGGCTGGGTCCTAAGATCCTTCAGCTCCAGTATCTTGTCAATTTATGAAATCCTGAGTTTTGCTTCTACATATTGATAGCAAGGAAAACTGGGCAACTGGAAAAGACTGCTGTGTTTTCCAAGTTCCTAAATGGGGTCAATGGGACACTGTCCATGTGAAATGGGGTGGGGGGTGTGTTTGTGTGTACGCATGCATTTATTCACCTTTTTATCTTCACATCACTATATGAGTATATCCCCTAGCTTTACACTCATCCATTAGCTGCTGCTCTTTTATCTTCCCTGAAGGAGACTCAGCAATGAGCAATTCTACAACCAGAATATCAGTCCTCACCTGGAATATTCTGCCCACACTCCCAGTGGTGTTCACTTGGAAGTCCTGGCCTGCTGAGTCTTGCGTTTGAATTCAGAGAAGCATTTTAATTAAGGGCACCTACTATCTTGACAGCCCTCACTTAGTGTTACACCTTGGGAGGAAATTGGAGTTTCCTCCTGTTGCCTTTGGAGACCAAGCAAAGAAACCAAGATAACTTCAGGATTGAAGCTGATGAATTTCAGAAAGTACACGCAACGCTGAGAATGCTCTGAGCTTCCACAGACTTCTATGGAGGGGTATTCCAGAGAAGCAGAGAGATACAGGGGAAAGAAGTCTGCCACTTAATAGCTGTATGACCCTAGGAAGTCGCTTTCTCTCTCCAAACTTCAGTTTCTCCACTTATAAAATTGGGATAATACCACAATCTCAAAGATAATCCGTGTTAAGTAGTACATAGCATATTAAGAGCTAAATAAATATGCATCAGATACAGACATGCTCACATACGTACATTCATATACTCACATGCACTTACACTTACACTCATACAAATGATACCCATTCACACACACATGTTGGTAACTGGGAAGACTGGCTTGAAGGTTATGTGTACCTAGTACAGAGTCTAGCTCAAAAAATGATAGCGATTATACACAAAAGTATGAATGGAATAATGCTAAGAATAGGAAGGACATTAGAGATCAGCTAGACTAGTAGTTCTCAAAGAGGTTACCCTGGACCAGCAGCATCGACATCACCTGGAAACTTGTAAGAAATGCACATTCTGGGCCCTCACTCTAGACCTACTAAATCAGAAAACCTGGGGGTGGAGTCTAGCGTTTGTGTATATGTTTTTGTTGTTTTTGGTGGCTGGCTGATATGGGGTTCCAAACAATTTGTCTTTTAAAAACCCCTCCAGGTAATCCTGATGCATGCTAAAGTTTGAGAACCAATGATTTAGACAAGGGTTTGACAACGTGTTTCTATAAAGGGCCAGATAATAAACGTTTTAGCTTCATGGACCCCTTTGCAACTACTCAACTCTGGCATTGTAGAACTGAAGGAGCTATAGACAATATGTAAATTAATGACTATAGCTGTGTACCAATAAACCTTTATTTACAAAAACACAGAGTGGGGTTTTGGAACTAGGTTGAAGTGGTGGTTGCACAAAATTGTGAAGGTATTAAATGCCACTGAATTATTTGTTTTAAAATAGCCTCAATAAGTTATTAAAAACAAAACAAAAACAAAAACAGGAAGTGAGGGGAATTTGGTTCACCAGCAAAGTTTGCTAACCTAACCAAGATCAACTTTCAATTTTTTACTTAAACTCATTCTAGGCAAACTTAATTAGCAGTTATGTGAACTCTACCTGAACACTTATGACAAGTCACTCACTACCCCACAAAGCAATTTATTTTACTTATGGACAGATCCCAATTCTATCTGTAATAGACTTTTTTCATATACAAAGCCAAAATCTCCCTCCCTATGACTTCCACCCAAGAGAGTTTACTTATGTTATGATCCTTTGCTTCACTTCAGGACTTCATGCCACATTACTTTTAAGGATGAGTCAGCTCTAATTGGAGAAATACAGAAGGGGAACATGCTTCTGTACTAAAGCATCAAAGAGAAAATAGAGTCCCTTAGTCAAAGATACTCCACAGGATGGGCCGATCTTTCCCTATCTCTCTTTCTCATATACACGTAAACATACACACACACATACAGACACCAGCAGCAGCAGATTTTTATTAGATGGAGGATAATGAAGGTTAGCTCAAAGTGGTAACAAACTGGAAAGCACAGCCACGCCACAGAGGAGAGGATTCCTGGCTGTGAGGATGTGTACTTATTAAATCTAAGGATCACAGTATCCTGCTTAACTATAACCAGCCAGGAAGCTCTTCTCCCTGGCACTCAGTATCACCAGTGTTGGCATGAAAGGGTCTGCAATAGCTAGTTCAACTTGGCCAACAGTTCCTCCAGTTCTGGCCGAGCTTTGAACCTTCCTTTGAAGTCTTCTTCAGTGTGCTGGGAAGAAGGAAAAGAAAATAGGTGGGAATTACTGCAGAGCTTTTAGTTACCCAAATATGCTCACATCCAAAAAAGGGCCCATCAGGTAGCTCTGTAGAAAATGATACAGATTCAACTAACTTTTACTGAGTATCAACTAGGTACCAGATTTGTATTATGTACCAGGGATTTGAAGGTGAATCAGACTTCCTCCTTGCTTTCACTGAACTTACAGTCTAGTGAGAGAAGACAGGCATATAAAAAACTAATGCCAAAATGCTATAACTATAACAATAGAAGCATTTAAAAAAGAAAGAATGTCAAAATTATCTATTTACAATAGAAATAACACTCACAGGAATTGGAATATTTTAAGTCAGCATGACCAGTACATTCTCTCCCTGTATGATCTATGTGAAACCCAAATAACAACCAGAAGAAGCTGGCACACATGGACTCAAATCAATGGGAGCTGCATGATGCATATGGCAACGGTCTAAAATGACCTGATGTATCTGTGTCATAAGGATCATCTTGGCAACTGGATCCAAATACTCAGTATTTAGGTTAAGGTTCTTAATGTTTTGCAAGTTTTCCATGCCTGACCAAACATCTTTCTGGTTGGCATTCTGACTGAATTTATTCAGTCAGGCTACAGCAAGATCCAGGAAACTTCTCTCTAAAATATATTTTCCAATATGTGTTCTGAATTATTATATTGAATATAATCTTTTGTGTGTGTATGGTGTGGCTACCCACAGGGTTTATATAATCTTTAATCATGTTCTTTCTGCCATGCGACTGCCTAAGATAATTTTGGAGTGTCAATGGGCTCACCCCTAATATCAGCATGCTGTGATGGAGGTCAGCTCCTGTGGTCCACAAAGCATCCTCCCTGATGCCTCAGAAGAGCCAGAATAATGATCATGGTACCACCAGACTGCATACCTTTCCTAATTATTATCTGGGCTAAATTATCCACATTTCTCTGTTGTTCCTACAGCCAGGCAGTCCAGATCTTCTTATCCTTATTTTGAGCACAAGTAGGACACTAGGGGGCCTCTTCTCAAACTAGCACTTACCTCCTTCACTGACAATTTGACTCCTTCAGGAAGATTGCTGTGTATTATTTCCAAGAAAATCTCTGCAAACGTAGCACTCAAACCGCTGATCTGCAAATGAAAGAAGATACTCTAAGGGAGGGCATTGAAAGCCAGGTGACTGGGCAGACATGTCATGGATTCAAATGCCAGCTCCAGTAGAGCTGGAGGGCCCTAGGGTGGAAGATAACATCCAGGGCTAGTTTCTGAGCCTGGCTTCTATGGGATTTCTCTAGCCATCTGCCAAGGTATTTGCCTGCTGAGGTGGTCACTGTCAATATTACTCCTATAGGCAATGGATGTCATAAATGGACCAAGAGTTACCAAGTCCAGGCTGACTTTCTGATTCAAATCAGGTGTACCCACATAGACCAGGGACTTGACTGTGTTGACAATCCAGAGATGAATCAGATGTGTGGTAGAAGAAAGAGCATGCAGGGGGCTGTGAGGACCTACAAGAGAAACACCTACCCAACTCAAATCAGAGAAGGTTAAAGAAAGCTTCCAGAGGAGGTAACATCTGGGTAGAGTATTGAACAACAGGAGTAAACCAGGAGCACTCAACAATAGTGTGGAGGGTTTTTAGAAAACCCTCCAGAGGAAACAGGCATACCAGTGCTAGGAAGTTAAAACTAGTTCCACGTGTGGCTGGAATGAATGGGCTGTGAAGAGGAAAAACAGGAGCAGAATCATGAAAGTACTTGAGTGCTAATCTAAACAGTGTAAACTTTATCCTATGGGCCTCAGTGCCAAGTCAGATCTGTCATACGATATAACACAAATAATTTATTCCTCATAACATTTAAAGAACCAAAGATTGTAAGTACATTATTTTAAAAATTAGAATATTTAGATTTAAGGTGTTACTACTTTAACATTCTCTCATTATTTTGATGTTATGCTTGAGTGGATCAAAAAGGGAACAGAATATATAATGGAATATTATTTGTCAATAAAAAGGAATGAAGTACTTATGCATGCTACAACATGGATGGACCTTGAAAACATAATGCTAAGTGTGAGAAGCCAGACACAAAAGGCCATATATCATACAATTCCATTTAAATAAAATGCCCAGAAGAGATAAATCCATTGAGACAGAAAGTAGATTAGTGGTTGCAAGGGGCTGAGGGAACAAAGAAAGAGGAGTGACTATTAATACATACAGGGTGTCTTTTGAGGGTGATGAAAATGTTCTAAAACTGATTGTGGTGATGGTTGCATTACTCTTTGAATATACTAGAAACCATTTAACTGTGTACTTTAAATGGGTGTATTGTACGATATGTCCAGTATATTCTGAATAAAGCTGTTATAAAAAAGGAGGATGATGCTAAAGCTGATAAGCTGTGAATTTTTAATAACTCTGGGCATCCTCATGGTGGTGTGATTGTCACCCATCTGTTCCTGCAGGAAAAAATACAGGATAACTGCTAGAGCTAAAAGGAAACCACTGAGGGTTTTTGAACAGGAAAATGACAATGTGATCACACTGGTATGGAGGTAAAGCAAAGTGGATGGATCTGAAAGATTTTTAGGAGGTAAAAGCTATAGAATTTGGTGAATGGGCTGGGCAGTTAGCTCAGTTGGTTAGAGCATGGTGTTATAACACCAAGGTCAAGGGTTTGGATCCCTGTACCAGCCAGCCACAGAAATAAATTCATTAATTAAATTTAAAAAAAAAGAATTTGGTGAATAAATGGATATCAGAGGACAAAGAAGGGTCAAGCATTAGCTCAAAGGTGCAGAAGATTATAGAAAAAGAGGAAAAGAAGCCCCTCTAGTTTTGCGTACACTGAGTGTAGGGAAGGCACCTCTTTAGCGTTCTAATGAAGTCCAGTAGATAACTGGATATCAGGGTTGAAGCTCAGCCAACAGATCATAACTGGATATATATATATACCTGGAGGTTATCAGTATACAATGATGGTCAGTGAGGCCAGGAGAATAAATGATATTGCATAAGGGGAAGGTATAAAAGGAGAGATGGAAGGGTCAAGAATTGAACCTTGGAGAACACCATTTTCGAGGGGCAGGAAGGAGGAAGAAAAGGGCATGAGAGAATGAGAAAAAATGGACAGAAAGAAGAACCAGAAGAAGCAAATACATTTGGGGTTCAGAATGCCTACCTGAACCACTCGCTCATGGGTGGTAAGGACTGCGTCCAGGAACATCTTGCTGCCTTGGTCTGGCAGCCGCAACATCTCCATGGTTTTGGTGGGCATTGCAAAACTGTGGGAAGAAGGAGTTAGCTATTGGGAAGGTTCACTTAAGCCAGCAGTGCCACCTCAATCAGGATAGTCTATGAGTACAGCCACTACTGCATGCAATAGCTCCTGGAATCTAGGGAGTGCTCATCTGCAGCCAGGAGCAAACTAACCAGATCCCTTTTACCTCCTCCAGAAGTCTCTAAACTCCCTGAGGGTACAGATAATGTCTAATGCCTTTCTGTATCCCCAATCACGCTTAATACATATTCTGAATACAACATGGTGATTCAAGGTCAAAGGTTTGGATCCTCATACTGGACAGCTGCCAAACAAAAACAAAACCAAAAATTAGTGATTAATAAATATTTGCTGCTACTGAAGAACAGCCAGTTCTAAAAGAATCAAGCTCATCAGTAGGCACGCTTTAGAAGCTAACATTGGATATCTCACTTGTTCTGGAAAAATAAGGCATGAAACCCAATTGTTCTAGAGCAAGATTTCTCAACCTTAGCACTACTGACATTTTAGACTGATAATTCTTTGCTGTGGGGGCTGGCCTATACATCCCTGATGGATTTTGGACGTGACCCGCGCCATTGTACACACAATAAGCACCAGCACGAAACCGCCGCCAGCCTCATCTTCCACTCCAGCACCAAGCCCCTCCCCGCTTCCCTTTACGAGAAACTTCTTGACTTAGAAACAACTTTCCGGGGCCGGCCCGGTGGCGCACTG